GTAGAAATTGACCAATTAACTTATACTTAACAGAATGGTTTACATACTCTGACGAAATCTCAGCACGAATACAGAGGGCTAGTTTCGCATATGCCAGTTTACGCCGTCTCTGGCTTACCAGACGTGATATCCGACTATTGACCAAAGGGCGTGTGTACTGCTCATCAGTCCGCTCCGTCTTCCTTTATAGCTGTGAGACCTGGCCATTGAGGGCGGAAGACATGAAAAGATTAGCTGTCTTCGATTATAGGTGCCTGCGTTCAATCTACCGCGTGAAGTGGTATAATAAGGTGAGCAATCTTGAGGTTAGGCGTCCAGTGCTAGGTAAGAAGGGGAAATCAATCGACGAGACTGTGAAGTTACACCGATTGAGATGGTTAGGACATGTGTTACGTATGCTTAGTTATCGCCTTCCTCGACAGGCAGTGTTAGCTGATATAGGGTCAGGCTGGAGAAGAGCTAGCGGCGGCCAAACAAAAACATGGCACCAGTCAATACAATCTACAACAGTTAGTCTAAGCCACGTAGGAAGGTGTAGACTTCCTGGTTGGGGTCGTCGGGTCGGTAAAAACCAATGGTTGGAAACAATTGGTGACATGGCTCAAAATTGTTCTCAATGACTGGCGCAGATGCATGCACTCCTTGTGACTTATGATTTCCAATGAAACTATATTGTTCTTCGTTATTACTATTCCTTTGTCTCACACCTCTGTTAACTGTCTATATTATGCATTTCTCCTACTTTCTTCTGTTGCTTTGTGTGCTACATGGAGTGTGGCGACTTGAACTGTCGCACATATGTGCAAAGTTCTATGTCGAAAACAGACAGACAGACAGAGACTCTATGTAAGTTTCCCGAAGCAGTTTGTGTACCTGATGGCAAGAGTACCGAAGATTTGATTGGACACTAGGTAGTAACTTGTGTCATGCGCCTGATCCCTTGTTTGATGCAAACTGAATTCTAATAATAACAATCCAGAGTTCACTGTAATGGCGAGCTACCTAGCATGGTGACCATAGTGCAGAATTTGCTTGACAGAATTCAGTTTGAACAAAAAAGGACTAGACCCATGACGCATGCCGATCGCCTCCAACCATCTAGTACTGAAGGATCGTCGAATTCTTGAATGATGTTTGAACAGAAAGTAAGTACAGGCAGTGATTGGTTGAAATAATGAGTGCTAATAATACAATTAAACCTATAGTTGTTGCGCAAATATTCACTGAATAGAGCTGCAGGTCTAATCTTTGAATTTGTTCACTCTAAGGCTACGTGATGAAATCCTAAAACCAGATGAAACTTGACCACTCAATTCTAATAAATCATTAGCACTAACTCGTAAAAGGTTAACATAAATACTCTGATAGTTTACAGCATAGTACGCCACACTTTATATAAATGTGGCTAGTTTACAATTGCTTCTCAATTATTAACATCACTAAGCCTTCTACCTCCTTGGTTATGAGCATGGTTGATGACCAATATATTTAAAATGTAAACTTTAGTTGTATTGCTACATCGTCTAGGAATTTAAATGGACATACAATGTAGCAGTGAAAAATCTACTGAACTACAAAATGAAACCTTAACATCTTAAAGAAAATCATCAGTACCGAGATTCACAAGTCATTGTATAAACAACAGACGTCAGTGTTCTTCTCAAATAATACTGAAAAATGTCAAACAACAATAACCATTTTGTAGTAGCAACGTACCAATGGATAACAGATAAAAGCAGATCCAAAGAGAAATCCTGGAACACTTATAGATCATATACTAGAATGATGAGATAAACCACATCTGCTACTGGAACGCAGTGAACTTAGTATCTGTAGGAGAAAACATTTCACTGAAGTTAGCGTCTCACAATATACAGATGTCAATTAGAAGAAAATAAGTGTGAAGTAAATAAACCAAACAGTGTAAGTGTAGAACTTGGGCACTGTGTTAGTATGCAATTATGTATTAGATAAGTTTATTTGATATTAGTCACACAATCTCATGTCTGATGTGGCTAAATTGATATTTTTTTGATTACAGCTTGGCTCCACACCGTATTTTTGGTAGAAGTATGGAATTTTCCGCATGTGATATCGGTAGCCCAAATTTTGCAGGCCGACCATTGATAACAGGTGTGCGTCCGCAGGGGATCGAACCCCCGGTCATGTGCATGATCTCCGTTATTACTATTCCTTTGTCTCACACCTCTGTTTACTGTCTATATTATGCATTTCTCCTACTTTCTTCTGTTGCTTTGTGTGCTACATGGAGTGTGGCGACTTGAACTGTCGCACATATGTGCAAAGTTCTATGTCGAAAACAAACAGACAGACAGACATGATCGCCGAAATATTTTGCGCTCAAAACGTCATCATCCAGTTATTAATTCTGCATCTCTGCCTGTTATTTCAAATAAGCCTATCTAATATGGAATAATCCCGCCAGTATTTATCCATAAGACAATATTATCTAAACACATATTCCTGCTGACAAAGAGAGATAAGGCAATTAAAATGAGTTAATAATATGCCAGATTTTTACTAGTCAAACTGAAAACGGTATGTCAATAGCTCAAACAACAAAGACAGTTATTTCTAATTCAATAAAAAAAAGATGAAAATTAGGTAATCACTCAAACAAATACGGCAGCAAACTGAAATAGAATCTCAAAAAAAACATTACCGAGTAAACACTATCTAGACTAGTACAACAAATTATACGAAGAAAAAGCTATAAACTATTAGGTTTACTGAAGAATGATCCCCCCGCCATTCATGCTTCTATTCAACAATTCAAAATATGTTATACAAAGATACAAGCTATAAGATTATTATCATTATTATTTCAAAAGCTATAAGATTAATTAATGTGCATTAGAAATTCACATGTTATATTACAATTCACCTAACACACAAGTTTTTATTTGTTAAGTTAAAGAAAAAGTAATTCCACATGAAACAGATAGACATTATAATTTGTACTTCCTAATAAATGTTTTAAAATACAATCCTCCTGCTCTTGACCATTAATTCAGGTTGACATTAAAAAGAATAGAAATACGCAGTGGAGCTACACAAACCTGTAGATCAGTGAGAAATCTACCTCAGCCTTGAGAAGTGGAGTAAGAAGAGTATCTAAAAAGATCAACTGTGACTAAAATAAAGAGAGAAAATGAATACTGAAAGGCTTGTTTAAATTCGTAACACAAAAGAAAAAGTTAAGCGATAGAGTGTCAAAGAAATTTTTTCCTTAAAACGGACTACCTTTTGTTAAGTAATAAAACTATTCTAAACAACACAACAAAAAAAGTCGACCAGAGTAGATTAACTTAAGCAGTTCTGAAGTAGGCAGAAAAAGAAACAACAAACAGTGAACCCACAAGAAGATGCAACTGATTCAGTATTTGTATTTATTGTTGGACTGTGTTGACTTTATATACGATTAGAAGCTGAATTCAGCACAGCATAAGCTATAATCTGCTTTCAGTTTACTTGAACAGTAGTGTAATCTCCCAAACCTAAATTTGTTTCTTCTTTTATTTATGTAAGACAGTTAACTTGCACTGCAACTGCGGTCAAACGAAAACATGGCACCAGTCAATGAAATCAACAGCAGTTAGTCTAAGTCACGTAGGAAGGTGTAGACTTCCTGGTTGGGGTCCTCGGGACGGCAAAAACCAATCGTTGGAAACAATTGGTGACATGGCTCAAAATCGTTCTCAATGACTGGCGCAGGTGCATCCACTCCTAGTGACTCATGATTTCCAATTAAATTGTTTTGTTCTTCGTTATTACTATTCCTTTGTCTCACACCTCTGTTTACTGTCTATATTATGCATTTCTCCTACTTTCTTCTCTTGCTTTGTGTGCTACATGGAGTGTGGCGACTTGAACTGCTGCACATATGTGCAAAGTTCTATGTCGAAAACCGACCGACCGCAACTGGTATACTGACTATCGTTATTTTCAACTATTTATGTCTCCAGATCACCGACCAACTAGGGTGAACTTAAACTACTGATTTTTTACTGAGTGGCTACAAATGTTCTAGGATATGTATAGGTGTTTATATGTAGAGCTAATCATAAGCCTAACAGTTAAAAAGTTAAATCTATACGGAACGAAAATAAGCAACTTTACACTAGTTAAATTACAAAATCCGTCTAAATACCTACTCGTGAAGTTCACCTATGAAATATTCACACAGAAGTACAATGTTATAAATGAAAACAGAAATATCCATAAACCAATTCCCAATCTTATCTACATGTCCTATAATTATTATAAATTTAATAAAAGTGGTAGGTTCACGCTAGAGAAGACTGAATTTTATTGAACACTGCTAACGGAAAATGTTTATATATATATATACATATGTATATATATATATATATAGAGAGAGAGAGAGAGAGAAATGTAAACTGTACAGACTAGACTCATGTACTGAAAAGTACACCACGTCACAAACTTTATTTCTAGCTGGGAAAAAAATATTTTGATACATAATCTGTTAGTAAGTCATCATGCAACTAGTCGCCAGCGTTATTAACAGTAACACCCAGTCTACTTGCATAATAAACTGGCAAAAAACAGACCAGTCGTTTACCACTTGAGAATCAAGAAAAAAAAGTTTCATCATAGCATAAAAAATAGCCAACTGTCTATATTGGCATAAATTTCAAAGTAAAATGAATTGTCAACTTTGACAATTGTTCACGCATACATGAACAAAAATAGTTTCTCCAATTCAAATAGCATTTTATCACTATAATGTTATGCATTCTTAAATAGTATTATATAAAAACCACATGAACAATTTTTAGATGAGTCGATTCCACACTTCAGACAGAATACCAATAGTCTAATGGACACTATACTACTTCGTACAAAAAATAAGTGCTATAGTGTATAGTTAGGATCAATAACAACAACAACAAAATTATCCAATCACCAACAATGCATGAGTACATCAAGAAAAAAAACATGAAAGACTGACTAACCCATTTCTAGTAGGCAACCATTCCACCAACCGTATTGGTTCGTAATTTGTTAAGTCATCTGGAACAGCTTCACCAGCGGCTGAAATAAAACAAATCATTACAGTTGTTGTTAAATGAATTAAAAGTCTAATTCAAATAAAGTGACGTTGGGATCATATATACACAAACGAGGAATACAAAACAACAGAGAAATCGTTGAAGTAGTAACTAACGTTTGACTGATTGATCAGCGTGCAAAATAAAACAGATCAATATACTAAAACTATCATAATTCCCCCTTCTGATATTAAGAATAAAAAAAGAAAATGATAACATAATACAGATAGACACTCATAACATATTGTGACCAATAGTCAAGGCTTGTGACGCAAATAATAATAATAATGATAACTATAATGATAATAATAATAATAATAATACAGTGGAAGGAAATAAACTCCCAACAAACAAAAATGTCACAGAAATTGATTTTGCCTGGTTAATACACCAGCTGACGACCAACAAAAAACAAAATGACTTATTTCTAGTCTCCATCGTAGATATTTGACGTCATCTATGATTATAACTATGATTATCACTATTACTATTACCACTACTCTTATCATAAGTTTAGCTCACTGAGGAAAAGAACGAAAATATAAACGAGAAATATGAAACTGAAATTAAATAACCATCTGTTAATTGCTAACAATCACTCCCATTTCAGAATCGGTATGAAAAGCTTCTCGTTGTATGGTTCCCCACTAGTCTATATAATTAATACTCCTCTTTGTAAACATTACAACAAAAATGCTGTACGGTTGCCACATAAGACTTCTATTCTATTCTATCTTTACATAAAACAAACATGAGTTTTCAATGCCAAGAGATAGAGAGCGCGCGCGCGCACGAGAGAGAAGATAATGAAATGAAAATAGTGACAATCATCAGTTCTTAAGAAAGTCTTGCAATAACGAAGATACAACTTTGCGATAGTTGTATAAAAAACGATATAAAGAATGAGTATACTTTATGAAAGCCTTGTGATCAATCCTGTGTCATACTGCCTGAAAGTTGAAACCTACACACTTTTATGTAATTTAAACAGTGACTTAGTTGTTTCATGTAACTCAACCATAATTTAGTCTTCACAGATTTGATTTTGTAAACACAAGTTCAAGTCAACTCGTTCAAAGAAGATTCAGTTGTTTTCTACTTGTAAACAATTATATACTCTGAGTTTAATTATATCAACGAAAAATAAGAAGTGAGAAAGGAATAGTAAATGTTCATGAAGCACTGAACAACTACTACAACTGGCTGGATATTACCAGTTGATTTAAAGATTGCCGTTAAAATATGATCTAATCAAATTAGGGAAAAATCCATTCAACACAAATACAGTTTTTTAACACCTAATTGAAAACTTAGAAAACTGACGTCTGTGTGACAAGAATGTGTCAGTTAAAACTTTCAAGGAAAATTATACCCTAGTCATGTTCTTCTTAAAAACTTAGATGCTGTCATAAGAACTGATGATTCATATAGTTGAATACCACCTTGAAATAAACAGATATGAATCTAGCACCAATATATCTGTGTTCGTCCATTAAATATCTGTTACGAAGATTCTAACAACAAGTGTCATCATGAGTAGCATTTTCGCACGAATACTCTTATCTGTCTGTCTGTCTGTTGTCGACATAGAACTTTGCACATATGTGCGGCAGCTCAAGTCACCACACTCCATGTAGCACACAAAGCAACAGAAGAAAGTAGGAGAAATGCATAATATAGACAGTTAACAGAGGTGTGAGACAAAGGTATAGTAATAACGAAGAACAAAACAGTTTCATTGGAAATCACAAGTCATAAGGAGTGGATGCACCTGCGCCAGTCATTGAGAACGATTTTGGGCCATGTCACCAATTGTTTCCAACCATTGTTGTTTTTACCGTCCCGAGGACCCCAACCAGGAAGTCTACATCTTCCTACGTGGCTTAAACTAACTGTTGTAGATTTCATTGACTGGTGCCATGCTTTCGTTTGACCGCCGCTAGCTCTTTTCCAGCCTGACCCTATATCAGCTAACATTGCACGTCGAGGAAGGCGATAACCGGGCATACGTAACACATGTCCTAGCCATCTCAGTTGATGTAATTTCACAGTCTCGTCGACTGATTTCCCCTCCTTACCTAGCACTCGACGCCTAACCTCAAGATTGCTCACCTTATTATACCACTTCACACGGGAGATAGAACGCAGACACCTATGATCGAAGACAGCTAATCTTTTCTTGTTTCCAGCTCTCAATGGCCAGGTCTCACAGCCATAAAGGAGGACGGAGCGGACTGCTGAGCAGTACACACGCCCTTTGGTCGATAGTCGGATATCATGTCTACGCTAGAGACGGCGTAAACTGGCATATGCGAAACTAGCCCTCTGCATTCGTGCGGAGATTTCGTCAGAGATCAACCCGTTGAACAAATATTAGGGAACAAGAATTATATAGGTATAAATATATATACACTCCATATATATGCAGTCTTTAATGCCTTATTTATAACGTCAACCCATGACTCCCCTGGCTATCGATTTAAAGAGAATAGTAAAATGTATGTCACCTATCCTAAGTCTAGCTGACCATCAAAATCTATATTTCGGGATACTAATTATGAATCATATATTATTCATTGTTTATGACACTTATACTGAAAGCTTAGTACCTCCGAAATGACTCAATGAATGTCTATTTTATTCGTTGGACGAATTACGTCATCTCATCAATAACTAAGTAACTAATGATATAGGTATGAAAATTGGGCACTGTGGTAGTGTATAACGCCATTATGGATACGATTTTTATTTTGATAAATCACACAGTGTTATACAGTAAGTAATATTAACTGATGACGTTTCAAGCACAAATTATTGCTCATTATCATATCAAGTCACTCATTAAGTAACTATGTATATACGCAAGATATGTTTACAACTTTTATATATTTTTACGTAGGGAAGAAAACAGAAAGTTGATATAATTAGATGGCTAGAAGGTTAATTATACCGTGAAACAAGTTTCGTAAATTCACCAAAAAAAATATCTAGATGAAATTCATCTACAAGAAATTTAGTCTTTAGGTTCTAATTATGTCGATTCACATCCTGAAGAATTCTTATTTTTCAGCTTTGCAAGGTGTGCAACTATGAATGGATACAATCACGTCTTTCACGATAAAATACTGTTGTGGTCGTATAAAAGTACTATTTATTAATCAGTAACTGGCTTTACTCAAAATGAACACTTTCAAACAAGGTCTGCATCAAAGTCAAAATTCTGTTGTCCTCGTCATCGTCATCATCATCGTGGTGAGAAAACAATCTAGTACGTTAGACATAGAATAATTAAATGGTTAACGGAAAAAGAATGTTATCATTGACAGAAGTATCCTACCATGGGGACAAATAATAGACACTGGACGTTGGGGCTGGCGAATCGACCAAGTTGCAATTAGGCCATGATTATGAGATGTAAGAAAACTTTTCCCATCCCAGTGCCAAGCCATACTGTAAAGACTCTAAAAAGGTATTAAAAAAAACAAAGTTATAATAATTCTGCCGAAGAACCTGTGGCCTACACGACGAAAAGTTCAGAAAAATCTTGTTTTGATTTTTTCTTAAACACATTGAAATTTTGCAAGAATCGGTTTTTATAAGGATTCCATTTGTTTCAGGTGAGACCACAGATTGATATCAGTTAGAGAACCACTGAAAATCAGGGAATACTGGACAGCTGTTTCATCCCAGTTTGGGAATCATCGGCAGTACTGGATTTTGAACCCAGGACACTCCGGTTACAAGGGAAGCTTGTACACCATTAGAATTATTTTAAATAATTTACAATGATTCAATGTCACTCGGCGCTCAAATTGTCCCAAGAAATTCGTAACATCCACGGTCTGGAAACTTATAGAGTTTTACTAAGTCTCAGTTCTTATGGGAAATGAATAGGTGGTAGAGCTTCTTCTCCTTTTAACACTGTGAAGTGATATCTTTTTGTAGCAATCAATTACAAGTTGGATATATTTCCTTCGGCGACTAATTTATAAACTGAACAATACCAATGACATATGTGTTTTTTTTTCACTCTTATTCAACAGACATTTCACTGGATGTGTCTAAAGCGCCAAAAATGAATGAATGATATGAAAAGTCATGGAAAAACGAAGTTGATATACAATTTGCAAGAAAATAATAATAATCCATAACTTTATTGCATACTGGTACCATTAATTGCAGATGAATGATTAAATAATCAATCTCTAATATATCTACAACATTAAACTATACCAAAACAACTAAAACATTGTAAAATAGATGTAATCTAAACTTACATCCGTGTGCTTAAAACGAGCATCAGCCTGCTTTGTTTTCAGATCCCATAGAACAAGAAATCCTGATGAATAACCAATAAGGATCTTATTCGAATCTTGAGGATTTTCGGCTATCTGGACAACTTTTCCCGGATGAGATGATTGTGATCTTTGAAAGAATAAGTGAATCAGACAAATAAGAGGAAAATCAAAATACTAACATATTTCTCCACTATAAGTCATTTAGGCTACTGCTTATTACAGAGGTGAAAGATTATAAAAGTGTAGGTTGAGAGAGGAGAGGGTTTAACCATCAAGTTTCATCCATCATTTATTAACTGAATGAAAACCACAAGAGGGGATGGTGAGGGTATACTCCACAGTCTGAAAGTTTAAAATACTGAATATCCTTGAAATGTTTTAACAGCGATCTCGTTGGCGCGAATGCATTACATTATCATTAACTGCTATCGTTGCAACATTATGCCAAAAATTTACAAATTTGAAAGCTCATCAGAATTCACTAACCAACAGATATTTTCGTTTAAAAGTTGCATAAGATAGTACAAAATGTAGACATTCATTTAACTTACAAGTCGATAGCCTTGTTCCAATTGATCACATAACCAGATGTTGCGAAACGTTGAACACTGACAAAATTCACGTTCCCTTTATCAGTGCCTAGATAAAGCCAACTGCTGCCAATAGGAAGATGTCCACATGTCAAACTACAATTCAGGAAAGAAAACCAAAGCATGCGATGACAGCAAAGCTTTATATCAGTGTGTGTATATCGGTTTAATAGAGTAGGAAACAGAGATGAAACTGACGGTATATATATATATATATATATATATATATGTAAATTATTCGACTGTATACTAATGAATGGCATAAAATACAATTCAAAGCCCTAAGAATAATACTGAAACTACAAAACATGTGTTAAAGCACGAAAATGAATCACTGAAGACGCTACTCGATCAAATATCACTGGGTTGATGCTAAAATGACTTTTAGTTTACTAACATTTAGGACGAGTATTTTTTTATACCAAAATGCTTTTTCCATGTTACTTCTTTCATAGTGGCTAGCAGAAGAATTCAAGATGAGGTTCCATCCTACTTGGAACTTGTCATCTGGACTTGCCCACCTCCCAGAGAGTGATGGTATTTCACCGAGACTTGATTCTAGCATCTACCACTTCAAAAGCTAAAGCGTAATCCATTACGCCCCAAGATTACAACAGCCGGCTCTTTTGCAACAGCTTGATTTGGAGCTATTTATTCATGTTTGTGATATTCTGTTGGCACATCTGACTGCATTAATCAGCCTCACTTTTGAATACTGATCAAATGGACAACTCTCTAATGTTTGAAGCAATGATCACTGATTTCAAGTCTCATTGAAACGCAATTACCCAGTGGAAAGTAAGGGCATTCAGTTCATGAGTCCTAAATAGGATGAAACGCGTGTCCTGGATTCTACTGCTAGCCGCTACTAAATAAGTCACATTGAGTTATTCATCCAAGTAATATCGAGGCATCTATTCAAGGAGTTCATCCATCAAAAGTTCAGTCAGATAGACCAAGTGGAAATCACACACATGAATAAATAATTTCGAACTGTTTTGTTAAAAATATTATTATGCCATATTAGAGTGCGTCGGTGGCGCAGACGTAGAATGCTCGCCAGTCACTCAGATGGTTCAAGGTTGGATCCCCGGCTGACGCACTCCGAATTCTCGTTTACCTGGTAATAAACCCGGCAAAGCGGGAAGATTGGGCGTGAGACTAGCAATCCTACCCCGTAAAAATGAAACCACTGATACCGAAACTTCAAAGCTCTAGCTTGAAACCCTATGTCCCACTGGGAACGCAAAGGAATAAAATAAAATAATAAATAATAATGCCATATTAGAAACACATCCAGTTAAAAAGTTTGATTCAATCAAAATCTAAACATCAGAAAAAATCTCTCGTAATAATGGGTACAGAATCCTGTGAACTTAGAAGAACAACTGCACCTAACAGATACAAAGAGCTAAGCGTTACACAAAGTACTTTGATGTAAAAAAAGTATTATCTGGGAAACTTTCGTAAACTTCTTGAGTAAACACTTAAACATGAATTTGATAATGCAGAAAGTAAGGACAACAATAACCATTTTTTGTTGAATATTTTTTTACATGATAACAGAAACAATTAGTAGATGAAGTTAACCGAAACCATTATTTAAAGTCATTTGTAACCATTGAAATTCGTCAGTGTTGGTTGAAAATTACATTACAAACGTTTAAAAATATCAGTTTGCATAACATTCTCTGACCTTGCGTGCTAACTCCACTCGATTTATTTACAGTGTACAGAGAACTGACACAGCTAAGAAAAACGTGCACTAGTGTTTGATTGTTTTTTTCAACAATGAGCTTATACCTACGCTTAGCTAAAAAAACAAGATTCACAACTGCTACTTCAAAATGCCTCATACTTCACATTGCTTTTCTAAACTCAACTAAATTTTTACTCGATTTCCAAAGTAGTATATCTAACGTCAAACTCTCATCCCTAGTAACACCTAAACTTCTAGAAGTAATTAATTACAGGACAATAAATATTTCACCTAAAATAGGTAGAAAAACCTCCACATGATTAAAGGCCAAAGATATTTACACTGCTGAATAATACTGATTTTTCTAATAAAAAACCACACAGAGAGAATTAAGCTAATAGAGTGATGACTCTAGGGAAATGAACTGTCAGTGTGAATGTTCTCAGTGAGACATTTCAGCATGTGCATTTTTTGTTTCATTAGTTATGTACCCCTTCATATTATTTTCTTTTACCTAAAATATTTGACAAGCTCACTGATTTATTCATCCGTAGGAAAATACATCTGCATAACTTTTTAAAGCCTTTGTACTATATCCCACAATGTCTTGTCTGTTGACTCAAAAGCTTACTCTAATGTGCTTCGAAATCTTCATGCATGTTCCTGTTTTTTAAAATACAATTATATAAATAATTACAGCTTGTGAATATTATAAGAGACAGGAGCAACTGTGATTTACTCACTAGGCATTCATAGACAGACAGTTCAGTTCACGGTTTCCTAAAATATGCCAGTAATAGGAAATTATGTCAAACAACTATGTGTGCACTAGTTGGTATTTTGTTTGTCCAGCTTTTGATACGGGATTTTCTACTTAAATCTTGGCATGATTTCGAGTGTTAACTCCTTGTTAAATAAAGATATAACTCCTTTCAAATCAACAAAATTAAAACAACAAATATTAATGTAATCACTACTATGTGAATAATAAAGGTGTATTTCAATGAATCTTAAACCAGAAGAGTCATTTTCACCACAAAAACTATCCTAATGGTCAAACAATCAGCATGCCTTGTTGAATTTCTTCTGAAGTGGCTGTTGGCTTTTATATCCTTTTTAAACATATATATATTATATCCATACTTTTATGTTACAGTAGGACTACATTCTATTGATTTATTGTCAATATAAATTTGTAGCTTTAGGTAATACTGATTAAATCTATGAAAGTGCAAACTCTGCACTGTTTAATTCATAGGAAGAAGACAAATGTTTTAGTATTTAAATTCACAGTGTACAAGTAGCATGAGTTGTAAATTTGTACACAACTAAGACATTTCAAGTTCTAAGGGCATAAGTAGTAATACAATAGCACCAAGTGATTTGATAGTGTGACTGTTAAGAGGTGCCAGTATTCTAGAGTGTCTGAGGCGAGAACTACAAGCAGAATAACAAATGACAACAAAACCTTGAAATCATCATTGCGAAGTTTTACGTTTACCTACATACATTAATAATATGTACTATTAACCTACCATAAACATATTTTTGTTAGAGAAATCTCTCACTGTAACCTACAGTGTAAATGAGTTTAGATCAGTGAGAAGATCAGAAAATTTTTCAGATGAGAGGGAAAGCTACCAACACAAACTGTTCAAATTAGAAGTAAGGTGAAAGTAATTGCACACGTATTAGATGCTACCTACTAGTCTAGGTCAACTAGGTTGATGACACTCAATCAGCTTGGATATTTTATTCAGTCTCACAGTTAGCAGATGATGAACGGATGACTAAGTAATGTTGCCTAGTGCTTTCTGCATATGGTCAATAGAATAGATGCATAAACCAACAAATACAATACAGCGAAAACATTCATTCAGACATCCATAGAAAACAAAATAATTGAGCAAAGAATATACTTTTCGAAAATTTCCTCTTCTGGCCTTACAATTATATATATATATATATATATATATATATATATATATATATATATAATATTCTAGAATAGTAGTCAATAACAATATTACTGTTTCTCAAATAATATCGATTTATAAAGTAAGATCAATGGAATTACAGTTCACTAGAGATGTTTAAATTATAATAATAATAAAAATATAATAGCAAATAGAATATCAACCAAAATTAAGGAAATTTCTACAACAATTTGAGGATCATTCGAACCTAGATGGCCGAGGTAAGTACAATGTCTGAATTAGATTCTTCTTAATGTGGATCCCAACGGCCCCAGCAATATTTAGCAAACGATGCGGTGAATGACTTTGAAAGCCTCGTTGACATTAATCGTGTGTTCTGCATCCACAAGATGGAATAGAATAACGCTACGAATAAATTTTGTTTGTCCCTTACTTAACCACACAGGGTGATGTTCGGAAATCTGACGAGAACCACGCCTAATTGTACGGGCTTCTTAACTGGCTCCACAGAAACAGTTAAACTGGTGGATATACATGGAAGAGGCGAAATTAAGCAGTTTATCTTTTACTTCCGAACGCAAAATAGGGGGGTTTGAAGACACAGCGGAATTCAGCAGCGGGGAATGCTCTTTTAATCGCATTTCTAAGGCTTGTGTTAGTATCTCACTGATGTTGTCCCCGAGGAACTGAATTTGTAAGAATAAGGCCTTTTTTGGAACTGTTCGTACCTTGGGCTGCTTTGATTTTAGATTCATATTCTTATCAATAAACACTCTCTGGATAACCGTTTTTACTCAGCAACCGTTTAATATTTTATTAAGTTCCTCATCAAGACATTCATCCAAGCAGATTGCTCTTGCTTTGTGAACCACGCACTTCATCATATTGCGTTTGTATTTCAAGGGGACGAAACTGAAAAAACGAGTATCCTGACCAGTTGATGTGAGTTGTCTACATATACTTCTTCTTACTGAGCCATCTTCTTTTCTGGTCATAAGGACGTCTAGAAATGAAATACAAGTCTTCTTCTTTCTCAGTAGTAAAATTTATTGCAGGATGAACCTCGTCAAATTTGTCCAGGATGTTCTTTGCTTCATCCTCATTTTTCATAATCAAAAATGTATCATCCATGTACCGACAACAGAATTCAAGTTCATCAATAACATCTTTCAAAGGCCCATTTTCTAGTTTCGCAAGGAAAATGTCAGCTAGAATGAGTCCTAGTGGTGAACCCATTGCCACACCATCGATTTGTGTACATATTTCCTTATTAAATAAAAAGTGGACATTCATTGTGGATTTCAAGAGAAGCTCTTTTATAAAAGAGATAGGAATGCCAACATTGATGTTTCGTCTTATGAGTTCTTCACATACAAAGTCCACTTTTTCCATAAGTGATACATTGGTGAATAAGGAAGATATATCAAATGATATCATGAATTTATTGTCAACATTTAAAT